AGAAGAACAAGGAGACAATATCGCTGGGACAAGATGGCGTTTCGGAGTCAGACACGAGCCGCGCATCGGAGACAAAAACGGACAAGAGTGCTGGAAGTAGGAGAGGAATGATCATCTGCCTTTAACGCGAGGGCCGGTAATTTTGATAGAAACGTGGCGGCATGACAACTGTATTCTCTGGATACTACACCCTTTATACGTCCGTTAACTTAATATGTTGTCGTCTCTGGTGATGACTGTGAATCGGAAACGCCCGTTAGAGAAAAGTATTGTCCCAGAAGTCGCATTCCCTTCTTCTAGGCTGCTTTCTGGAACGCGCATTTTGCCTTGCATCGACAAATTAAAGTTCTAATTAAATGTCTTGGTTATTTAAGCTTCACCTAGTGGCTGTTTTCAGTCCGAGAGGTCAGGATAGGAGTACTTTTAAACTAATCTGATCACGCCATACAATAAACTTTTTATAACTGCCCTGTGTTGCTATCGAAATAAGGACAGCGATCAGACTGAAAATAAGGACGGTAGTAAAAGATCGAATATTCTGGCAGAGATCCTAGGCCAAAAGTAGGCTCCATTATTCAAAATAGCTTGCTAACCGTTAAAATAAACTCCACATACAGTTTCCTATCGATTAATTAAAATTGGTGGATGTTTAATAGGTTGATTGTTAGATTTTTGTCCCTGTATTCTGATAACTGATTTCTGCAGTTTGCTAGAGGAAGCCTTTTTTGCCTGATTTCGCCAATCGGCATATTTGTGATATCACTTTTTCCATAACTAGAACCCAGTTTATCCGTGATAGCAAAGGCGGCTTCTCGTGATATAAAAATAGTTTTCCAGGTCCGGGATGCATGTCACAGCTGCAGATTTAAGTAGCAATGTTAAATAATGTAGAGAGTGACTAGCGGACTGACAACACACCATTCTAGAAATATTTAACTTCCATTTGATGCAAGAAAAAGCAAACGAACCGCCATTTAAATATCTTACTTTGCTAGCAGAACCCACAAAGACCGGAGGACAAATTTGTGGACCTCCATT